ACTTTGATCTTCAAGTGCCTTTCACATTCTTCCGGCAGTATAAAACAGAAAAAATGTCCAATTCAGATTAGCCATTTCTGCTCCAAGGGAGACATTCCTATTAAATTGAATAAGAGCTTGCTGTTAGATTGATTGATTAGATTTGATAGACATTGATTTCTCAAATGAACCATTTGATTTTCTAGGCCAATTAAGCGAGTTACGGAGCATGTTGTTGAGCCAGTGATGGCCTGCTTCTGTAGTCTCTCAAATCAAAGAAAATTGTTATCATTAAGTGAAATGAAACCTTGAACTCGCTGCTTGATCTCCAGCTAAAACTGATAGTTGGATATCAGAGTATTGTGAATGATGCCTTTGTGCCATTTTTTGACTGTCAATAGCTATCTGCCCACATACTGTCTTATGAAATATGTCTTTTGTGGGCATATTGCTGCTGTCTATGGATGTTTTACACACATACACATGTTCTGTTGTCCCTACCACCCACCAATGATATTGGGCTGTATTTTTCAGCAGTCAGCATACCTCTCAGCTGGTTTAACTAGAACGGACTGCGTATGCATTCCTCCGCCTACATTGGCTCTCTCTGAACGACATATCCAACACATTTATTTCATTTTTGTATGCATGTGCATTGATTTTACACATCTGTTGCAGACTTCGCCATCAACCAAAAGGTTGAATTTAAAACGATGTATTTTTAAATAATCATAAATTTGGGGAAGGCATACAAAAGAGGATTCCGTTCCATAGTAAAACAGTGGCATGAAAGCAAAGGCCTTCCTGTGGAGATGTAATTAATTAAGACATCTAACAGGAATTGTCATATAAGGATATGTTGTAGTATACATTGCATGTTTTCTGAGTTTGGCATTCTTGGGGAGTCTGAGTGGGACCTGAGCTGGCATCTTGCATACATTTTTGGAATTGCTTGCCATAACCTTAAATTATCTAATGTGGGAACATTGTTACATAATGCATTTATCTCAGTAATGTTCAGGACTGTGTGATGTCTGTGTGATTATTTTGAATACATCTCCTTAAAGGAATATTCTGAGTTGTTTTTATTATGTTTTGCTGTTGATAACCACAGACAATGATTTTAAATTATTACTTAGTTGTAACACATACTGTATAAGAGCTTTAACAAACATATAAGCTGCACATTTTTGCTTTTTAAACATAATTTTCATTTTAAGCTGTCAGCTCTCTGTTACTCTTTTTGTTTGTCTCTCCATGGAGAGCCACAGTGCAATACATTTGTAGTACTGCATGTGATGTTTTGCGTATTTTGTCTCCCTGTTGTGTGTGTTTATTAAAGTCTATAGAGACAAGAGTCTACTTGGAACAAACATCTCATGTCATCTCCAGGGGTGTGAAGTAACGAATTACAAATACTCACATTACAGTAATTAAGCAGTTTTTATCAGTAATTGTACTTTTTTGAGTAGTTAAAAAATTGTGTACTTTTACTTTTACTTGAGTACATTTTAAGTGATGTATCGGTACTTTTACTCCGCTTTTAAATAGGCTACTCTTTTACTCTTACTCAAGTAGTTTTTTGGACAAGTACTTTTACTCTACTCACACTACATATTTTGGAAGGTAATGGTTCTTTTACTTGAGTATGTTTTTTCAGTACTCTTTCCACCACTGCTCATCTCATCTCATCTTCATCCGCTTATCCGAGGCCGGGTCGCGGGGGCAGTAGTCCGAGCAGAGCCCTTCTCCCCGCACACCTCCTCCAGCTCCTCTGGGGCAACCCCAAGGTGTTCCCAGGCCAGCTGGGAGACAACGTCTCTCTCCAACGTGTCCTGGGTCTGCCCTAGGGATGCAGCGATTAACCGGTTTCCCAATTAACCGTGCTTTAAAATGTCAAGGTTAATTAGTCGTAAAAGCTCTGCTACACCGAGTGTTTCTGTTGCACAGAATGGAACAGTTGCAACTTGCGCAAAACTAAAACAAAGTTACACTAGCGGTGCACCATCTTAAAATGCTGTGCTTATCAGAGACACTGAGGCTGCTACACGCACTAAATCAGAGGTCCCCAACCACCGGTTCGCGACCCACTACCGGGCCGTGGAAGAATTGCTACCAGGTCGCAAGAATGTTCTGGGAAAAATGTGTATAGATATGACACTTTGTTATTTATTGCGTGTTAATGATTGTTCTTATTATTCAGTAAATAATAGACATGATTTTCTCAGGCCACATGTAAAATCATATGAATTATTATAAAAATTATTAAAATTAATATGTATGGATGACAGTTGATTACAATAGTTCCGTTTATTCCCCTCATCATTAATAGTTTCCCCTGTGGGATAAATAAAGTTTAATAGTCCTATATTAATAATACTTATTACATTGTTTATATATCTTCTCCACTTGAGGGAGCAACTCCCCCCCCAACCTGGAGGGAGCAATCCACCTTTTTCCGACTGAGAACCACGGCTTCGTTTTTGGAAGTGCTGATTCTCATCCCCGCCGCTTTGCACTTGGCTGCAAACATCTCCAGTGCACGCTGCAAGTCTTGATTTGATGAAGCCAACAGGACCACATCATCCGCAAAAAGCAGAGACGATATCTTGCAGCCTCCAAAACAGACACCCTCCGCTCCCTGGCTGCGCCTAGAAATTCTGTCCATGAAAATAATGAACAGAATTGGTGACAAAGGGCAGCCCTGGCAGAGTCCGACATGCATCGGAAACAGGTCTGACTTACTGCCGGCAATGCGAACCAAGCTCCTGCTCTGGTCATACAGGGAACGAACAGCCTGTAGCAACGAGCCCTGAACCCCATAATCCCGAAGTACCTCCCACAGGATGCCACGAGGGACACGGTCGAATGCCTTCTCCAGGTCCACAAAACACATATGGACTGGTTGGGCAAACTCCCATGAACCCTCCAACACCCGAGTGAGGGTATAGAGCTGGTCCAGTGTTCCACAGCCACGGAACAAACATATCAATTGAAATATTTTTTCTGTAGGCTTGTCAGGATTATTACATAATCGCCTCATTGTGATTATTTGATTTAATCGTTGTGCACATGAACTCCCAATCACATATTGCCAGTCAAGTAAGTGAACACTTGAATTTATTTTTCTTTCAAATTAGCATTAGAATTACAGAATATATGTTCTGCATATATTTATATAATTTAAACTAGTTTTTCATTCTAAAGTTTACAACATTTGTTTACAAAAATGTCTAGGATATCAAGCAATTTATTGATGTTTCCAAGTTCAGTGTGAATAAATGACTTGTAAATCATGTGTGTAAGCTGTCGGAGTTGATGGCTTCATGGGCGTCAACATGTAGCGCAGACGTGTTTGAGTTCTATTCCCGACTCAAGGTCCTTTGTCGATCCCTTTCCCCTCTCCCCTGCTTTCCTGTCTGATCTCTATACTGTCCTATCCAGTAAATGCATGAAATGGCCAAAAATATAATTTCAAAAAATATATGTATAAGCTGACATTAACAAATTTGGATTGTTATTCACAATAATCTGCATGACATTTAATCACCAAACAAAATTGTATGGACAGCACTGGTGCTCTGCAAGAATGAGGCAGCAGAATAGATTCATCCTGTAGCTCCTTCCTGTTCAGAAAGATTGGTGTTTCACCCCCTTCCTCTCAGATTGCTGGAATGTGTGAACGTGGTTTGGATTTGTAGTATGAAGGTCTTCATTCGACATCGTTATAATCAAAAAATGCAAGTTGGCATGATGTTATGATCGTCTGTTTGACCAATTAGGAAATTATGGAAATGTTGACCCAGGGAGATATTGGGAAAAGTACATGTGAGTCTTTCCTTGTGTTCTCAGGAAGACAGTGTTTCCTGTGGTGTTCCTTGTTTGCTTTTCCAGATAAGATAAATCAGCTTGACAATTGTGTTACCATCTGATACATTTGTGTTACCATCTCTGAACACGGCCTAAGAAACATCCGATTGGTGATACAGTGATTTCTTAAGTCAAACTAGTTCTGTCATGACAACTCTAGGAGGGATTGGCATGGTAATGTACATGACAATGTTAATGTATTTGGTCTTGGCGGAATAGAAACTTTTTTTATTCAGAAAATATATTAAAGGGTTAGTTCACCCAAAAATTTAAATTAGCCCAGGATTCGTCTGAAAGAAGAAAGTCATATACACCTAGGATGCCTTGAGGGTGAGTAATTTATGGGCTAATTTAAATGTTTGGGTGAACTAACCCTTTAATGGACATTTTTAAAAAGAATTCTCCTGGGACGATTTTCGAATTTTTGTCATGCATTAAGCTGAAAGACTCTATATAATTGTTCTTATTACTTTTGTTCTTATTATTTTTACTATATGTATGTTTTTGTATATTTGTACTTATTTATTTATTTATTTATATAATTTTCAAACAAAATTATATAATTGTTTTGAAATGATATATATACGATTGAATTTTGAAATTGAAATGTTTCCTCTTGCCATGAATATAGCCACTGCTGACATGGCATTAAATCATAAATAAATAAACTTGGCGGAATAGATCTGCTACGCTGCTGCGGCAGAGCAAGTACCGAGACTTGCTACTGCCAATACATCCACAACATGCTGCTGTAAGCATGTAAGAAATACTGCTGCTGCACATATAACACATATGAATAACCCCCATATAGCATACATGAATCACCCCGTAGCAGATCTATACAGGTGGAGCTGGGGAAGGTGGAGGGTTTCTGAAGTGCGCTGCCAACTGCTACAGCAAACAAAAGCCAGATATTTGAATATTGAGCAGCGAGCTCATTGCTACCGATACAGGAGAGAACCAATCAGCTGCCATGTGACAACAGCTGCCATGTCACTATGATGTAACCAGGTCAGATTGAGCTAGACCTATTGGACTGCGCCATCTAGAGTTTCATGCCAGAACTCTGTATTTATTCAGACAACCCACAAGACTGAGAGTACAAAGAAAATATTTGAACCATTGATCAATGTTGCTTGTGTCCCCTACAGATAAGAACTTTGATGACGAGGACTCTGTGGATGGGGGCAGGTCCTCCTCCTCTTCCTCTTCTAAGGGCTTCTCCAACAGCAGGAGAGGGGGCAGCATGGGCTCAATGAGACGACCCAGTTCTGCCTCTGGATCCAGGGCTCCAGGTAAGACCACAGCTGCTACAGCTCAACCCCAGCATACCACTGAAAAACTAAAGTCAGATTACCCATCACAGTAAACACTATAGACATTCATAAACACTGCACATAAACATGTTGAACAAGGAGAAATGTAGTTGTTCACAGAGAGATTATCTATTGAAAAGCTTGTAGCTCAAAAAAAGCAGAAGAGACATTGAGAAATGAGTGGAGATAAATAAGGATTCCGTTGGCTGGGTAAGAGGCATATTGCAGATTTCTACATTATATAACAGTCTTTGATTAATTCAACTCTAATTTTTGTGTGGTTTGTGTGATGGATTTAAATAGCAGACACACACACATACATATAGTAAGATTTTTTTTTTTCTAAATTAATACTTTTATTCAGCAAGGATGCATTAAATTGATCAAAATGACAACTTTTTATTCATTAAACAATCCCCTAAAATATTTTAAAAAACGATATAAAAGTGATAATAATAATAACTGTTTCTATTATGTATGAGTATGAAATCAGCATATTATATTGATTTCTGAATGATCATGTGACGGCTCTGCCATCACAGGAATAAAATACATTTTAAAATACATGAAATAGTTATTTTAAATTGTACTAATATTTTGCTATATATTTTGATCAAATAAATCCAGCCTCATATTTATACACAATTACATTAAAAGCTTCAAGCATTATTTACTTAACTGAGAAATATTAAAAGACTACATGCCATTGTTTGATTTACTTAGTTAATATTTATAATAATAAGTACTAATATTAATGTATGATTATTTAAATTAAATGGTCTGTTACATTTTTCAGTAGATTTGTTAAAAACAAATTTAGTATCAAAATTGAGAATTGTACAGTTTCACCAATATTGGCACTGACTGTTAAATCTTTTTTTTTTATTATTTTGTGATTGCGATTCCTCAGTGAAGGATAGTGTCAGTGCAGGAGCTGTGGATGAAGAGGATTTTATCAAGGCTTTTGAAGATGTACCTGCAGTTCAGGTAATGCATTGTGAAAACTAAAAAGATGGACTCCTTGCATTTAAACACACAGTGCAAGAAATAAATATGCTGTTCGTTTTCAGATATATTCCAGTAAGGAGTTGGAGGACTCCTTGAATAAGATCCGTGAAGTTCTGTCCGATGACAAGCAAGACTGGGAACACCGTGTCACTGCTGTGAGTTATTCCTGATCTGTTTCACTTCTACTTTTGTCGACATTATGCACACCCCAACTTGAAGAATGCGTCTTCAGCAAGGCACTAAAGAAACTCTTATATCATGTATTTAGCTGAAGAGAGTGCGGTCGCTGCTTCTGGCTGGTGCAACCGAACATGAGGGTTTCCTTCAACATCTACGGCTTTTAGAAGCTGCCTTCAAGCTGTCGGCTAAAGATCTTCGGTCTCAAGTGGTTCGAGAGGCCTGTATCACATTAGGGTATGAAGCCATTCTTTCCTACCACTTTTTCTTCCAGTCTCTGTTAGGATATTTATTTAATATAGTGTACAAGTCTGACATCCACTACCAAAATCGACTTGTTTACAGTCAGCTAGTAGGATGCCACCTTTAGATATCCATTGATCAAAGACACACTTCAACAGCAGACCAATTTATCACAAATCCAGTCGTACAGGTTTTTCATCATATTCCGCTTCATGTTTTATCTCAAATATCATCGGGATACAGCTTTAGAAAGTGCTGTTTAAAGGGGTAAATGAAGCTGTTGTGCGGGTCTCTGTGATTGAGCATGGCTCAGTGCGGGTCTTTAATTATTCTGGGTCTTAATGTGTTTCTAATGAAGTGGAACCGAGCTTACTGGAGCATGCAGGACAGATCTTCTTCTAAAGTGCAACCATTTGATGGATATCTAAACAAGTCCCATGCCTTAATGTCAAACAAATTTGATTCATTTCCATCTAGACCCGAAGTTAACGTATACTTATATTCGTGTTTTGTTGATTGCTGTGTTTTGCTGTCTCTCAGGCATCTGTCTTCAGTGCTGGGGAATAAATTTGATCATGGGGCTGAAAACATCATGCCTACGCTGCTCAACTTGGTGCCCAACTGCGCCAAAGTTATGGCCACGTCTGGAATGGCAGCCATCCGCCTCATCTTGCGAGTGAGTCTGATGAAAAGACAATTCTTTACATTTTACTTTTCTCTAATTAGATTCTTTTAATTCTCTAATTTCTCTGTATTAGTGCTTTAAGTAGCCACTATAATAAATAAATAAATATATAAATAAATATAAAGTGACACAAAAACTGCCTCGCTGTTTACTGTTTACACAGGCAGATACCTTCTAAGGTAGCGCCTACCTTACTTGGAACCTCATAAATGACAAAATTGGGATGTTCTACATAGGCAGCAACTTCACACATAATGCTCCTTATATGAAGTAACTCAGTTTTGATATTAGTATGTTGTTAAGAAAACAACAAAAATCATAAATAGTCCATTGAAAGCTGCCTTAGTGTTTGACCAAAAATTATGAACCTTTTGGAACAGACTCTGCATTAGAGATATGAAGCCTTAAAGTGCTGTCTAGGTTGGTAGCTCATTGGGATTGCAGCAGCTAATATGCACATGTACCTCACTATTAATGACCTTTTCAGAGGCTTCAACAGCATTTTTGTGATTTAAAATTTGGGGGTCAGTACGATTTTTTTTCTTGAAAGAAGTCAATACTTTTGTTCAGCAAGGACACATTAATTTGATCAAATGTGTCAGTAAAGTAATTTATAACGTTACAAACGTTTTCCCATTTCAAATAAATGCTGCTCTTTTGAAAGTTCTACTCATTAAAAAAATTCTGAAAAAAAGTATCTTGGTTTACACAAAAATGCAGCACAGCTGTTGTCAACATTGATAATAATAATATGAATAGATGTTACTTAAACACCAAATCAGGATATTAGAATGATTTCTGAATGATCATGTTGCACTGAAGACTGAAGTAGTGACTGCAGAAAAGTCACTAAAATGTGACTTTTCTGCAGAAAAAATTAAAATGAATTCAAATAGAGTTTAAATTATAATAATACTTCATAATAATGCTGTTTTTACTGTATTTTTGATCAAATAAATGCAGCCTTGGTGAGCATAAGAGACTTCACAACAATCTTACCAACCCCAAACTTTTGAACATGTATATATTCTATTCTATATTTTATTTATTTGTTTAATATTCTAGCACCAAGATTTGTAATTGCACTTTTGTCTTTCTCAGCATACACACTTCCCACGCCTTATCCCGATCATCACCAGCAACTGCACTTCTAAATCTGTGGCTGTTCGAAGGTAAACTAGAGCTTCCTGAGAGAACTGTTTGGAAATCTTTTTTTCTTTTTTTTTGCAGAGCATAAACTAGAAAGCCATTGTCTTCTTATACAAATGCTTGTTCACTTTCACCCCATCAGACGGTGTTATGAGTTTTTAGACCTGTTATTGCAAGAATGGCAGACACACACTCTAGAGAGGTGAGTGGAAAATGATTGATGTTGTATTGAGAATGAAGTTATTAGTTTTTGTGAAGTGCTTTTTGCTCATAGAATTTAGTTTGTGTTTATTCCTTCTCCGGACAAAACTGTCACACCCTCCCTTTCCTGTTTTTGTGACATTTAACTGGTGAAAACATGTGTTACTTATCAAAGCTCGGCTGAACGGGCAACTGATGATTCTTTTCGCGGGTTGAATTGATGAGCCAGGGATGTGTGGCAACCATGCGTCCCGGCCGTTTCCATGGCAATATAGCCAAGAGCTCTTTTATAAGAAGGTCTGGACTCCCCTTATCCTCTCTTTCCCACTGTGCTGCCTTTGGAGAACTGGGAGAAAGGTCTGGCGTCTGGTCCAGAAAGTTTCAAAGGAGACAAAGTGAATTCACTGTTGGTTCTGCAGACTGTAAGAAACAGTATTCATCATGTTTCCCTACTACCCCAGGCATGTGGCAGTTCTCACTGAGACCATCAAGAAGGGGATCCATGACGCTGACTCAGAGGCCAGATCTGTGGCCAGAAAGTAAGTCTGTTTGCCTTTTTCTGTTGTTTGGTTAGATGTAGCATAAGCAGTACTTTGAGATATTCATTTATGCATTGTTTGATTTGATAATGCATTTAACGTTTGTATCAGTCTTGATCATTTACATGTCCGTTTGTTTTATAGGTGTTACTGGGGATTCCATGGCCATTACAGTCGAGAGGCAGAGCACCTGTTTCAGGCGTTGGAGTCGACCTATCAGAAGGCCCTCCAGTCTCACCTGAAGAGTTCTGACAGTATAGTGTCTCTACCGCAGTCTGACCGCTCCTCCTCAAGCTCGCAGGAGAGCCTCAAGTAAGACATGCACACATTTCACTTACCACCATACATGAATTCGTACATTATTATTATTATTATCTGCATTGCTGGTTTGACTATATTTTCACAAATAGCTGTATATACTGTACACTACCGTTCAAATGTTTGGGTTAAGATTTTTTTTTTTTTAAGAAATTAATTTTTTTATTCATCAGTGATGCATTAAAATGATTAAAAGTGACAGTAAAGACATTTATAATGTTACAAAGGATTTATATTTTAAATAAAAAAGCAGTTCTTTTGAACTTTCTGTTGATCAAAGAATCCTGAAAAAAAAATTATTACATTTTGCACAAAAATAAATATTAAGTAGCACAACTGTTTTCAATGTTGATAATAATAAATGTTTCTTGAGCACCAAATCATCAGCATATTAAAAAGATTTCTGAAGGACCGTGTGACACTTAAGACTGGAGTAATGATGCTAAAATATATTAAAATAGAAAACAGTTATTTTACATTTTAATTGTATTTGACAATACAACTGTCTTTTCATGCATTTTAGATTAAATAATTGCAGCCTTGGTCAGCAGAAGAGACTTCTTTCAAAAATATTTTACTTACCCCAAACATTTGAACAGTTGTATATAACCATATAATTCAGTGGTTTTATACAATAATGTTGTCTCTGTGGTGTCTGCTATCCCATGCTAACAAAAACTGTGAGTTATGGCTGGCCCTGTTGGAATCTGTGAAATATTTGCCAGTTGGCTGATGGACCACGTGCACAGATTGATGACTGTGGATATGAAGCAGTGATCTCATCTTCAATATTAGACTGCAGCATCTGTTACACTGTCTCCTTGTTGTTGAGGCAGTGAGATCATCTTGCATTAGCACCAGTGTGATGAGTGACAGCTCTAATGATCACAATCTGCTATCAAAAAACAGCAAACACTGCTGTGTCATAATCACAAAAATGGAAAGAAAAAGTGTGACCAAGAAGGGCTTACAAGCAAATGAATGTTGTAATTTGATTGTGATTTATGATTTGTAGATTCAATCAATATTCACACTTGCTTCCTATAATAAATTAACAAGTGTGAATATTCTGAGTATAGTTTTAATGCTTTTTTTATTTTGCCATTAAATTCCCAAAAGTGCATGTCATTCTAGTAGTTTCAAAATCCCTCTTTGTCTTTCAGTAAGTGAGTATGACAGCGTTTAGATTTTTTTTTAAATGTCTTATTTTTAAACTTGTGTTTTTAACTAAATTTTTACTGTTTTAGGTGAAAATCTATTTGGCAACAATATTGGTAAAATATATTGTAACTTGTCAAAAGGCTGAAAAATGTTCAAATATATCTTTTTGAAATTACTGATTCATTTAATTTTATTCTAATTATACTGCTGTCGCTAAAATCTTTTTATCTGCATTCCTGCAGTCGACCGCTGTCAGTGAAGAGTGTCATTGGAGGCCCTGTTACAAGAAGTAAGTAAAGTAACACTTTTTATGGTTGCTTAGCACATATATACAAACATGCCATTTTGCCATGTCTGTAAATCTTGTGTGTGTAACATTTCCTCAGGTAAAGTGATCGGCTCTAGGGTGTCCTCCACCCCTGGTGCCCTCCAGCGTTCCCGCAGTGACATAGATGTGAACGCCGCCTCCAGTGCCAAATCTCGCATGTCCACCGCAACCTCCCCATCTCCCTTCAGCTCCGCTGCAGCTCTGCCTCCAGGCTCCTATGCCTCCCTGGGTGAGACCCCATCACACTCTATCCATCTTTTCTCCTCTTTCATCCTTAATTAGGAATTTTAATAAAATAGCCATAAAATTCAGTGGCTTTTATGGTTGCAGCGGCCCATTAATAAAACTGATGGGCAGCATAGATGCTATTAAGCTGCTCTGTGATGTGGAACAAGCGACAAGTGTGTGCCACAGATTTATTATCCTGTGTTATGACTTCAAATTTTGATTGGATAAGACTATTTGTTTGAAGTAACTTAGAAATTACTTCCTGGAATAATAGTATTATTAATAATACAATTATTTATTCAACATGTCTTTTATAATTTCTTTTTTCTTTTCTTTTTTTGAGCTACATTTTCCTTTATCATTTTGCTCTTTCTGCCATTTTGTGAAAACAAGAAGCCAAACCTTGTGCACTACAGCGTAAAATCACTGTGACACACATTCTTTTGTGTCTTATTACTTCAGTTATCTTATCACTGGTTTTCTCAGTGTTAGTTTTTCAGCAGAGTGCACAAGGGAACGTTGGAGCTTAATAATGCATCGGTCCTTCGTGAGAAATATTCAGTATTCATCCCAGAACTCACCACTTAATGTTTGACCACTAACTGGCTTGTTACTTTTGTCTGTATAATGTTTTCTAATCCCATGATTCCTTAAAAATTATCAAAGAGATTTTATTTCCTTACCCGCAGTCACACTCACTAGCTCCCGTGTGCTTCCATGCAAGGCCCATTTCTGAGCAGATCCCTGTCTTCCACGCTTCCATGGGCTTATCTGACTCTAACCTCTGCCTCTTATGCCTCTCCTCTCCTCCACCCTGCACTCCCCTGCTTTTGTTTTTGTGTTTTTGCCCCAAAGACGGTGCACCTGGTAAAATAGATGGTAAGAAGTATGTGTATATGTGTGTGTGAGTGTGAGTGTCCACCCTCTGTGCTGTAGGAGGGATTCGAGCAGTGTTTCTGTCCCATTTGTCAATAAACAACTGTACACCTGGCGATCTGTCTATGCTAGTGGTCTGCATGACCTGTTTTGCATGATATATCCCCCCCTCCTCTTGACAATAAATATGCTCTAGAAATATTTCTTATTTTTTATCAATTGCTGCTTAATATTTTTGTGGAAACCATGATGCATTTTTTAGGAGTCTGATGAACAGTTTTTTCAAAAAAGCAGCATTTATTTGAATCTTTTACAATGTTATAGATGTCTTTACTGTCACTTATGGTCAATTTAATGAATCCTTGATGAAATAAGTGTTAAATTCTTTCCAAAAATGAAATTTTATGGACCCCAAACTTTTGAACGGTTGTGTATGATTTGATAGATAGGTTTGCTCAGAAGCTAATAATATCCTGTGTTCCACCAGTCTTCTCAGTAGAGCATGTCATGTAATTCCTTTCAGTCAGTATATTTTGATTGTTTTCATCAGGGAAATATCTTTGTTTGTCCTCAGTATCCTTTGTTGTTTAAACCTTTCAGTCTGTCTCTCTTTGTGTCAGTCACTCTAAATATCTCCCTTCCTCTCAGGCATTTTATTACCTCATCTCATGCTCCTTTTTTTTACCTACAGGTCGAGTGCGGACGAGAAGGCAGAGCTCAGGGGGTGCGGTCAGCGCCAACAGCACCGTTACAGACAGCCGTGGTCGAAGCAGAGCTAAAGTGGTCTCTCAGTCCCAACGTAAGTGTCTGTGTGGACGTTGGTCTGTGTGGATGGATTTTTTTAAAGAACCATAGCATGATATTATTTATAATCTACCATGGCTTTACTACTAAAAGCTTTAGTGTTATATTGTGTATATGTTGCAATGTTAATGTTTGTTAATGAAATTAACAAACACAATTACATGGCTCTCTGAAATACTTTATTCTGATTAGTCATTATGCTGTCACTACATTCAGCTGCCACATATATTTCTATATAATTGCCACTAAACTTTATATTTAAGTTGCTATATACAGCTATGTTAATTTCATGTCTCATATCACTCCACATATTCTTTCTTTAAACATAATAAAATAATTTCTAGCCAAATAAATTTTTTTAGATTGTGAAATAATAATAAAACTCTTGTTTTATTAGCGTAATGAAGAAATTAATTGAAATGGTACCTAGACATGTTTTTATGAAATTCACCTTCCTAGGTGTTAGGAGCTCAGATACAGATAGATAACTATTGGTCTGCCACCACTATCATTTTCCTTTTTGTCTCTGTCAGTTTTGTATTTAATGTTTTCACAACCCAGTTTGGCATCCTGCTGAATGTGGCGTTTATTCCACAATTATAGTTAAAGCCACTCTTTGGCATTAAATGTGTAGATTTGAAGTTTCTAGAGCACAAATAAACAACATCTTGCCTGATGCATGCTGGGTAACCATGCGTCACATCAAGCGTCTTTTGTAACTGGCTACTTTTCACCTGTCCGTTGCCTTGCTTCCATACACAAGGATCCAGATCAGCTAACCCCACTAGTGGTAAGCCCCCTGTTCATCAGAATAAAGCTGCGTTAATACCCTCAATACGAACCCTGCATGAATTACATGTCTACCATAATGTTGCATGTCCTGCTTTAGCTTAATCTTTTTTATTTCTGTTCAAATAGAGGTCAGACATTATGATAGTTGGGTATTTGTTTTTTGCTTTGATGTCTGTCTGTATGTGTTTGCAAATGTGTCTGTAGCTTGTATTATGTCACGTCACCATGCCTGAAGAGATTACTTTTTCCCTGCAGCTCGAATAGACCTTGGATCCAAGCTCACTCTGTTTGTCTGTCTCTTTGTTTGTATATATTTCAGTCGAGGTCTCGTCTTCATATATTTGCATACACATCTAATTTTTCTTTGTGGTGATTTTGTTCACCTAAACCTGAGATTTTTCTTGTCAGCCGGGCCATGTGAATAAAGGAAGGCTTATAGACAGCATTGAAATAAATGCTCAGTTTTAGTTTTCAAACCATTGTTGGGCAAATACTGTTTAATATAATACTGAATTTTCAGCAGCTATTCCTCCAGTCTTCAGGGTCACGTAATCCTTCATTATAGATTTTTTTCAGGACTCTTTTATGAATAGAAAGTTCAAAAGAACGGCATTTATTTAAAGTCAGAACAATTTGTAACATTATATATGTTTTATTCTTACTTTTGATCAATTTAACCCATCAATCATTGCTGAATAAATGTTCACTTTTTTCCAAAAAAAAACATACTCAACCCATACATTTGAATGATAGTATACATTTTCTTGCAATCTTGGTAACATTAAATCATTAAATAATGTAAGCAAACAAAATAAAGGTGCCTTATTTTATTTATTTTTAATGATGTAAATTTGATACAAAGCAGAGGGGACTCAATGGTAATTGGTAAATAATCAGTCACCATGTTACTTAAAGTACTCCTGATATTATTTCCCTTTGCAGCCGGCAGCAGATCCAGTTCTCCAGGGAAGCTCTTGGGACATGCGTATGGCAGAATTCCTAGAGCCACTGCCCCAACAACTCCCTCAGACAAGTACTCAAGGGTCCCAAGAAGCCAGGGATGCAGCCGTGAAACCAGCCCCAGCAGATTGGGCATAGGTAGGGGCAACACATTTTTACATCTCAGAGTTTAACACTAAGGATGGCCACATACAGTAAACACTTCATCGGCATACATAAAACAGCTTAATTACAAAACTCAAGTGGGCCTAAACCAGTTCCTTGAGGAATTCCTTAAGAATATGCATTACAACATGGAGATTATTTGCTACATTTTGTTGGAAAAGGTAGGACCTCGTGGTAAGTATGGATGGCAGGAATTTTCAGCGCTTACTTGCCAAAGAAAGAAGACTTTCTTAAATTTAATTTGCTGAATCATTGTTCGCTGCAAATCCTATTAAATTGGACTAGTGCAGATAGACGGAATGTCTTTTCACTGTGTGAAGGAAGCTCAGCATTAATTTAAATGGCTGATGCAAGTGTTTATTCCAAAACAGGCTCAGTGGTTACTCATTGCTGTCTTTTGTAGGCCTATGTGATTTATTTACCTGTTGCTGAATGATGACAGTGCTGACTAACGGCTTTCATTCTTCATCAGATTTTTTGGCTTTCTTTTGAGGTCATTGTGTTTGGCAGATTTTTCTGAGAAATGTTTGTGTATGTCCCATCTTTTTAAAGATCTGACCAATAAATCTCCAGCCAATTATTTAACAGTTATTAAATTGACAGCAAGTTATCAAGAAGCACAAAACCATTTGTATATACAAAACTGAGGATATTTAATTTTTGTAACGCCCACATGTTTATTAATGCTTCAAAGCTTAATGCACTTTTGTATGTTTTTACACCTAAAAGTTAATAGTGCTTCAGTTTTTATATTTTATTTATACTGTACATGTTGAAATGAAGATTCCAGACTTTTTTATGGCCTAAAAAAAGATTCTTGAAGTGGCGTTCACACTGACAATGATTAGCAGTGACAAAGTGGCCAGAATTAATTTGTTTTCAATGATTTGAGGCGACATGAGTGGCAGTGACTGTTATCAATATATTTAGTCACATGACAACGTAAAATGTAACTTTATGCAAAAGACCAGTGATGTGATACAACAACTACCAATCGGAATGAAGACGTCGCAGCACACCCGTCACCTGTCAGAAACTGCATGCAGGAATATAATTTTTCAAAAGTGATACATGGAAACCTGTGTAAGAAATTGTCAGTGTTGATTCATGAGAGCTTAATTCATGCATTGATAATCATTTTTCTTATACATGACATGATGCATTATGGACTGCTACAATTTATCTACAATTTAACTCCAAATTTAAATTTCTAGCAGCAAGAAAACTGATTTATTGTCAAAATAGAATGACATCTTATTTTTACTGATAAGAGTACTTATTTTTCAAAAGTTAAGGGTTGGTAAGATTTTTTTAATGTTTTTGAAAGTCTCTCATGCTCACCAAGGCTGCAAATAATTGATCAAAAATGCAGTAATATTGTGAAATATTATTACAATTTAAAATAACTTTTTTCAAAATATATTCCTGTATTAGCAAAGCTGAGTATTCCGCAACCATTACTTCAGTCTTCAGTGTCACGTGTAATCATTTTAATATAATTTATAGGTGTCAGTGTAAAGTGTAAGGCTTTGGTCGTTTGGTCGTGTTTGAGAAAACAAATAAATCTAGAGATACACTAAATTGCTTGGTGCACCTTTAACACTGCATGTTCAGAAACTCCCTAAATGTTGTCAGTCTAAAATGTTCAGCTTAAGCCTTGTGCTTTAAATGTTTAACCTTTCTAAAGCAGAAGGACACCAGGAATGGCCAACCCAACCCCACCCTCCCCCCTTTCTCTGACTCCACGGCCTCACTAATGCCCTAACTTGTGTTCTAACAGCCAGGCTGTGTGGTAAAGCTCTTCTTCCTGCCACTTCTTCCTATCGCACGCTAGCCCGGAGCAGTCGCATCCCCCGCCCCAGCATGAGTCAGGGGTGCAGCCGTGACACCAGTCGCGAGAGCAGCCGTGACACAAGCCCCACTCGGGGCTTCACTCCTCTTGGTGAGTAGAGCACAAAAGTGGCTGATGGAGTCAAAACAACAAAAACATCCAATCCTTTCCAATTCGCTATCACAAAACTTCTCCCTCTGATTCTGTTTGGCCTCAATTTATGGCCATTATTCCTATTATGTGGCATATGAACTGTTGTTTGCTTGCCTCTATGCATGCACTAATATGTTCTTGAGGTGCTTTAATAATCTGTGCCGCTGTGTCTTTGAGGTTGTAAATACATCTAGTAAAGGTCTGGATGGTTTGTCCATAAAAATGGATTTATATAGCATTTCGTATTAAATTGTGAGTAAAATCAGCTGGTCTGATCTTTCAAATCTTTACAGGGAGGAACAATCACAGCAAAGTATTGCAATCAGTGTTGTTATTGTTATCTTAAAATATTAAAATGATTTAGTGGTAATTGAAATAAATGTGAAATGTAAAATAAAATCAATAAAAGTAAATATTAGATGTGGCCTCACAACTAACTGAATTACTGAAATTACTAAAACAAAAATGGAAATAAAAATAAATGAAAGCTAAATAGAAATATAAAATAAAAATAAAACCTGAACAAAAATTCAAATGAAAAATTGAAAATATGAAATAAAAGCTAATTTTAATATTAATAAATACTAATAATGCTAAAATAACACTGATTGTAATGCATATTGCATTGTGTATTCATTGCTAATCTGCTACCAGCATATGTGAATGTGGTCTATGTTATAGCAGGGAGATGGATAAGTCTATGGTCTGTTTCACAAAACATTCAACATGCGAAACATAACTAGTCACTACACGAGTGTTTCACATGACTCGTGTAGTGACTAGTTATGTTTTGCATGTTGAATGTTTTGTGTTATTGCCACGGATGGTGATCAGTGTTTTAGTGTAGCACTAACCGTCTCTGGGGTGTCACCCCTCTTCCTGTCCCCTTGCAGCCTCCCGACGTCACTCTCGCTCCACCAGTGCGCTGTCCACGGCTGAACCCGTGGGCCAGTCAGGTGACCTGCATGACCCCTCCCCTGGCCCCCTCAGACAGAGCCAATCACAAGCATGCATTCATATTTGATCTTTTTTTTTTTTTTAACTCGACTGGGTTTGCCAGATCAAGCTACAATCTTCACACTTCACATCATTGTTAGATGTAGATGCGAATTATCTGTTCATTTGTGAAATTATATTTCCAGCGTCTTTGCTCTCTTTTCTCACCATAAACATCAGCATCCATCCTATTTGAGGTTGATTTATTTGCATTTGCGTTTCCGTTCGGTTGGTGGTGTGTTTGCCAAAAATCACTTCAGTTATCTGCGTTCAGTTATGAAGTTTTGTATTCTTGCCATATCCAGTTAATTCCAAGATGTGTTGCTGGTAATGAATTAAAAAATATTATTTTATTTGGCTATTTGTGCTGTGAGCATAGAATTTCATTTAATTTTTTGGAATGTTTGAATTTAATCATTGTTTTGTGGGACCCATAATTCACATACATTTGGCACTTGATTTTCCAAGAAACTACTTTATTAAAGCAGTATGGTTCATTTATTTCTTTATTTACTTTATTTATTACATCATCTTTGTAGTTTTAAAGGTGAAATGTGTAATTTCTGGGCCACTAGTGCCACTAAACAGAATTTCAGTCTGCCGAATTGGGCAAACATTATAACATTGGCTCAACTAATAGCATCAGTTTGGGAGAGGCCTATCGGATTGGTAAACTAATGGTGGATGGGTGTTTGAAATTCTGATATTACACACTTTCACCTTCTTTGAGTTTTTAAGCAACCATGGTTCTTTTTCTGTCTTTTCTGAACTTGTTATGTGTTGGGTTGCATCAGACTGTCTTGATTCTCTCAATCTCTACTTCAACCTCAAGTTTTTTTTGTCTCTCTTGCCTAATTTTTAGCCTAATTGGTTGAAAAAATGTTTATGACGTGACTTTGAAGTTATGTCGTAGAAGGTAGGTATTTAGTAATTCACCATTCTCACTTTCTCATCCTGTGTTCAAACCCTACAGATCGCTTTGGCCTGATCCATCAGGCTCGCATTTCTGCATCTGTCAATGCTATGAGGGTGCTGAACACTGGCACAGAAGTGGAGGCTGCTGTGGCTGATGCTTTGGTAAGAATTCGTGTCTCCTCTCACAGATATGAATAGGATGAATTGAAATATTCCTCATTCTCATTATCTGATCTAGGATAACAGAAGTGATTCTTCTGTATGGCTCAACTATTTGTCATATGTGGCCCTAAAAACACCCACAGAAAAATAATATTTTAGGAAATGAGAAGTGTTCATCTTTATGTGTTGGAAAAACCTTTTTTTGTCCTTAGATGTCAACTGCCTAGCTATATAATGAGGGTGCAGTTTTCAGATTTTGTGTCTTTTCTGCAACAACTTTGCTCCCTTTGAAATCTCTGCGTCTCTGCTCTTCCTTTCTTGGTTGTCTTCAGCTGTTAGGAGACTCCAGGAATAAGGTAGTGCTTCTGTTTATATACTGCTTGTATTTCCATTTTTATTCACTAATCAGAATGACCATTGTGGACTGTCAAGAAAATATTGAGCATTTTGTGCACCACAAACATTTGCACTTCTTTAATTAATTTGGTCAATGACCATCTCCTCTGCACAGTCCCATCATTTCCTGCACAAGCACCACAAGATGCATTTCATTCATTTTGCTATCAATTTGGCACTAATCTCTTCATTTTATTATGTTTATGTCATCCAGTGTTATTGCTTTGGAAAATGTAAATCATCATTAATTCACGTGACAACACAGCAGGATTAAGTTGTAAGCAGGGCATATGTTATACATCAGCATGACACATTCCCTTTGCTGCATAAGTAGATGTAATTACCCAGCGTGCCACGCTCTTCACTTATGTCATCTGCACACACTGTACTAATGACAGGGACTCAAGTGTTTGTTAATGCATTGCCAACTGCTTGAAATTGTCTGTGACCGATTTGCATTATTCATGACTGCCGCAGCAAATATCTGAATTGTTCCTTCACACTCCAGTGCTGAGACAGGTGAAGAGCTCAAAGGTCACATACACACTGGAGCTAAAGTTGCTTAATTCCATTTACAGAGTTCAATTATTTATGGGAATGATAACAATTCTACAACCAGATTCACTGCCGAAAAATCCAGGAAGTGCAACCAAATCATTAAAGTGTGTTCGAAATTAAAATGAACAACTAGTTGTTAATATTTTGCCAGATTAACAAATTGTAACTCTCTTATATCTCTCTCCACTGTTGTCAATGGTAGTTTACTAAAAAGGTGCTTTAATACATCTTTGATCACTAAATTGTTTTGTCAAAAGTTGGGGTTGGTAAGACTTTGTTTTTGAAAGAAGTCTCTTATGTTCACCAAGGCTGCATTTATTTGATCATTAATGCATTAATATAAGATTAGTGGTGTGAAATATTATTTCAAATAAAAATAATTGTGTAGGTAACAGAACAGCAGCAGTCAGATTACACTGTTGCATCCATGTTGGCTTCAATGTGCCAAACTATTGTTAAGATCATCACAAGTTAGGAGTGACCCTTGCATTATTCTGTACGCACAGAAATCAATATTTTAGAGGATTCATTCCCACTTTTATACGTGGTTGTCACTCTTAAAACTTTGCAGTGTGTACTTGGCCGAAAGTACCCAAAGTTAGTGTTAAACGAACCTAAACCCTTGTTATTTTTTAATGCTGCATGGCTTTTCCATATCAACAGCGTACTTACTATATGTTTGAGTAATGCATGGTAAATTGTTGAATGAATTCCCTTTGTTGGTCTTCTGATAGCTTTTTCAATTTCCCTACTAATCTGCTCCATGCTCTCCTCAGCGCAAGCCTTTGAGAAGGAGGTACGAGTCTGATGATGATGCCAACAGCGACGCATCCAGTGCCTGCTCAGAGCGTTCCTATAGTTCCCGTAACGGAGGCATTCCTCACTACCTGCGTCAGACAGAGGACGTCGCTGAGGTGCTAAACCACTGCGCCAGTTCCAACTGGTCAGAGAGGAAGGAGGGCCTGCTGGGTTTGCAGAACCTGCTGAAGAGCCAGCGCATTCTCAGGTGGGGGCCTTCAAAGCGACACAAATTGTCTTTTGGTTGTTGGGTGTAATTTTATTGTTCTCCAAGTCAGCAAGTAGAAAGTAGTCAGTCGATATCTGGCAGATTTTCTTTTGTTGCTCATTTAGTGTGTTAGATGCACATGCAAAGTCCCAGTTGGCTTGCAATTGCTTTTTAAGCTTCTTCTGTCTCATTCTTATTGCGACCAGGCCTTTAATCATATTTGTGTGCGTTTCAGCCGTGTGGAGCTCAAGAGGCTATGTGAGATCTTCACCAGGATGTTTGCAGATCCTCACAGCAAGGTAACCTGTGTGAGGAACGCATCCTTTCCACATGGCTGCTTTGATCACACTTAATCTACTTACGATGGCTGGATTAATGGTAGCATTCCAAATAGAGGATTGAAGGATTACTTTAAAATGTGTTGCATCATGTGAAATTATCCTAAATGAATCATATTATAATAAACTAAATAAGTAGCTTTCATCAGTATGGATTCTGTTAAATTCAGCATGTTTGTCTGGCAAACAGTGTGTTTGTGTTGAACTCTAAAATGGAATGAGATTGCACTAATGGAATGTGTTTTTCCTGTTGTTTGCATGGTCTGCCTTGGTGTGGATTTTAACAATAGAGAGTAAGTGGATATTACAAATACCTGAACCATTTTGTTATATAAATGGATTAATTATGTTTTATTCTTACATAAATGGGTTTATTCTTCATATACATCACAGCAACAGTATAATTATTGCTCATACTTGGGGTTAACTGTTTGTTTTTAAAACCCTAACCCTAAATATTAAACAGAATCATGAAACTCATGCCGCACGCCCCAGAATGATATATCAAACTATGCTGTCTGTTAAGGAGAGATGTGCTATTATTTTATTATGTTATTATAAGTGATCAGATTTATAAACTGACTTACAGACAAGAAACTGGCAAAAAAAATCTTGGATTTGGCCTCCTCAAATTTTCAAGGATACGTCAAGATGACTTTACATTAATTTAAAATAAGACAAAACAAACTCTAAAATAACTACAAATCCAGATATTTCTTATTTTATTTCCGTCAATAACTGAATTGTTTTTCATGAAGCTATTAAAACTTTCAGAATCCTGAAATCTAATTATTTTGAATTGATTTAGTGTTTTATCGTTTTTTTTATCTAAAAAGACTTGCAGCACAGCATTGGCATGATGTTTGATGTTCTGATTCCAGGTGTTCAGCATGTTCTTAGAGACTCTAGTGGATTTCATCACCGTGCACAGAGAGGATCTCCAGGACTGGCTTTTTGTACTGCTCACTCAGCTGCTGAAGAAAATGGGAGCTGACCTCTTGGGCTCAGTCCAAGCTAAGGTCCAAAAGGCTCTGGACGTCACAAGGTTGGTCTTAAGCGATAGTCCTAGTTTTGTTCTTTTTGAAGCTTAGAACTTTTTGTGCCACCAGGTTGATGTCTTGTTTCTCTTTTTCCCCCTTCTCTTAGGGAGTCTTTCCCCTTTGACCAGCAGTTTAACATTCTAATGAGATTCATTGTTGATCAGACTCAAACCCCCAATCTGAAGGTAAGATGATGCCTACCATGACTGCTTTCGAAGCCCCAGCAGCAAATTCAGTGTGCGGAGTATGTTAATTCTTATTATCTTGGTGTCATAATGCAGGTGAAGGTGGCCATCCTGAAATACATTGAGTCCCTGGCACGGCAGATGGACCCTGCAGACTTTGTGAACTCAAGTGAGACAAGATTAGCCGTGTCTCGCATTATCACCTGGACCACAGAACCCAAGAGCTCTGATGTTAGAAAAGTGAGTTTCCTTAGAGTTGTGCTTGCAGGCAGTGCACAAATCAATGCTGTAATGGTGCTCAAAATATAAGATGACATTGAGTTGTTTATTTAAAAATATTTTTCTAGGTTGATTTTGACAGATTTCTTTGTGTGAATTCTGTCATCATTTACTATTAGGCACTTTCATCTCATTCCAAATAGCTACCTAAATTTAACCCTGCGAAGCCTAACATAAGAAATGCAGTAATAGTCTGATTTTTTTTTTTTATTGAACAGTTATTAAACCTTTAGACAAATCCTAATAATAATAATAATAATATGTTTTTGTTGTATCGTATTTGATGCATCAGGCTTTTTAATGGCTCAAATGATATGATATAGAAAAAATTTAGTTTATGCTTGAAGAGGAAAAAAGCAAGTTGCTTTATTTCAGTAGGTGTTTATCATGAAATATTACTAACAATATAATGTACTATACTTCATATGTTTACTTGATCATATTTACTACAATTCAGTCAAGATTTCACATAAAAATGACAAACAACCTGAAGAGGGATGTTTTTAAAATTTAAAGGCCTTCCTGTTGAAAAGTATGAACTACCAATGACAAAAGACATGTAGCAGATTGTGTACAACTGGTTTTTCATCAAAGTTTTGAACATGTTGATAATTTAGAGAAAACTTGTGTATCAAATATGATTCATGAGGCTTTATAGAGTTAAGTTATTGATTGTAAAACTTGATGTATTGGGTTCAACTTCAATAACATTAAATTTCATTGGTTCTCATATGTCTTTTGTCTGGTGCCATATTTGATAAAAAAAATTATCCATTTGTGTTTGATTTAAGAAAGAGATAATGCAGGTTTGGACATGAGGGTGAGTAAATGATGACAGAAAACTATCCCTTTGTGAATCATCTTCAGACAGGCCTTGTTATTGTATATGTAGTGTAGTTTTTTTTTTATCTCAGTTACTGGGTTGTTAGTTTTAAAATGTAGGTTGAACATCAGTTAGTCACAATGAACAGATGCAGGACATTTCTTCCCAATATCAGTTGCTTTCTAAAGGCAACCTCTGGTCATCAGTTTCTCTTTTATTGTCTGTTACCCACCTGCCCTGACATGATGGCCCAGACTCTTCATAACTGGGCATGTGAGGAGTTGTCAGGCAGGCCCAGCACTACAGCTCTACTTCCTGGAGAGGGTCACCTGGAAGAGAGGTGCAAGCAGGTAGTGCCGATCCAACGGCCTAACCAACAACCAGCACGTAACCGCTGCACCTAACCGTGTGCCCTCTCCTCACTCTAATCTGTCTCGTTGCCTTGCGAAGTGTCTGCTGAATACAATCTCTTAACATGCAATTCTCCAGAAGTCTAAAGAGAGCAGCAATCTTTTTTAAATACTAAATTAATAATTGAGTGTGTTTTAAAGTTTCCTTTCGTATCTTAATTGCTGTAATGCTCCACTGCTTAAGATATTTTCGTTTCTTTTCACAGAATAACGGAGTGAATAAATTTTCTTGCATGTTTAACATTAAACAGAATTGAGATGACATTTGAGATCTCTCTGTAAACTGAGTGAAATATGAGTCTCATTAACCAGGGTTGGGAATCTTGCCTGTGTTAAACTACTGTTGTCATTACGATAAAAGTGATATTTTGTTTGTCTTCTTTTTGTTTATTTATCCAAGCAGAATTAACCATCAAGAATTATATCATGCAATTTTATACAATTTTAAATGAAAGTTTATTCATGGTTTGTTGATCTGTTGAAATCTGAAATTATCACACCTGACAACATGCTACTGAAGGCAGTAAACGCAATAAGAATTGCTGTTTTCTTGCTTCCTGACTAAAGAAGTTTTAATGTAATCGCTAAAAAACTACAAGGAAATTAAGAAAAATCGGAACAAGAATCGTCTCTTATGATTCCCATCCCTGATGTTGAAGGCACCTACACACTAGCTCCATCAAAAGCTCTGATGGAACTTTTGACAAATAGGAATTTGTTTGTGAAATCAAGCTGGACCTGCTCTCATAAATGACCGTATAAACTCTAGTGTGTAGGTGCCATAACAGGTCCAGTTGTTGATAGTAGCACTGCAGTCACAGTTCTTTATAGTCTCTCTTTCTGACCTCAGTTTCACCGCCGGCATTTTTCGGCATGTATAAGTGCGCTCCGGTTCATTGCGGTGTTAGTAGTTGTACTGTGTCTTATGAGGTATATGCTGTGTTGTGCAGGCTGCCCAGGTGGTGCTGATCTCACTCTTTGAGCTGAACACTCCTGAGTTCACCATGCTGCTGGGTGCTCTGCCTAAAACCTTCCAGGATGGAGCCACCAAGCTCCTGCATAACCATCTGAAGAACTCAAGCAACACCAGCAGAGTGGTAAGATCTCTTGTTTCATCTCTTATGAGATTGTATATTAAGAGATTTAATATATACTACCATTCAAAAGATTTTTATGTTTTTGAAAGAAGTCTGTTATGTTCACCAAGGCTGCATTTCTTTGATCAGAAATGCTGTAAAAAAAAAAAATAATATTGTGAAATATTTTCGCAATTTAATTTTAATTTTTTCAATTTCAATATATTTTTAACAATTTTTCCTGTGATGGCAAAGCTGCCATTACTCTAGTCTTCAGTGTTACATGATCCTACAGAAATGTTGAAAACAGTTGTGCTGCTTTATATTTTTGTGAAAACTGTGGTGCAGCTTTTTTTTATGAATCTTTAAAGGGGTCATATGATGCTATTTTAAAGATCATTATTTTGTGTATTTGGTGTAACAGAATATGTTGACATGCTTTAATGTTCAAAAAACAGATTATTTTTCAAATACTGTACATTATTGTAGTTCCTCTATGCCCCGCCTCTCTCAAACGCGTCGTTTTCTACAAAGCCCCTCCTTCCGACAAGCACAGTCTGCTCTGATTGGCCAGCTGACCCAGTGCATTGTGATTGGCCGAACACCACAAGCACACGTCGGAAATGTAACGCCCCTTTCCATAATCGCGAGCTTCAGCTTTCAACATAAATGTAAAGACAGTAAATAATGTCCTTAGTTTTACCATCAGTTCAAGCCTGAAAGGGGAACAGAGTCGCGTGACAGACACAGTGATAATGCTCATATGTATTTGCAGTACACAAGCCGCAACTAAGAAAGACTCCACTGTGATGTGACCCTGTCTTCTTTCTTTGCATGAACATTTGGGCGGCATTATGCAAAGATTTCCACATCGTGACGTAGACATGTGGGGGCGTGTTTGAATGAGGCGTTTTAGCCCGGTCTGGATCAGCCTTCTCTTTTAGATAGAATCAATCCTTTTGTGGGAGACTTTGAGATTTGTAACTCTGCAGATCTTATACATGCACAAATAGCTACATAACACACTAAAGAAAAGGAAAAATAGAAATCGCATCATATGACCCCTTTAATGAATAGAAGTTTTAAAAGAACAGCATTGTAACAATAAGTACATATCTGTACTGCCACTATAAAGCATCTTTACAGAATTAAAGTTTTAATTTCTTTCAAAACAATCTTTCTGAACACAACCTTTTGAACAGCATACATGTGTTAGTTATTTTTTGTTGTAAATACACAATACTTATATTGTGTCACAATAAGGTGGTGTCATTTCATTTTTGTGCCACTAGTGGCAACAGAGACATTATAGGGGGTAAGAGACAGACCATTAGTTGAAAAATACTCAATATGGCAACTGTTAAATGAAAGTCCCAATCACCTTTTTGAAAGTGCTATTTCCAGTGGTTATTATTTCCTTTTTTAAACTCTAGAATATTCACTGGATGAGCCTGAAAAATATTTTTAGCTAAATTCAGCTAAAGAAACTGATACCATTTTCAGATTTTATAGTTGAGGTGAAGTAAACATTATCTTGCCAAACAGTTTTGAAAATCTTCATTGAAGTAAATCATAGGGATGCAACGATACCATTTTTTCAGATCCGATCCGATCCGATCCAGAAAATTCTGAGTATCGGCCGATTCCGATCCGATCCGATCCGATACCAGCTCAGTTTTTTTTTTTTTTTGTCAATGTAGAATTTCTGTACTTCTGTGTTGACCTGATCGTCGCTCTTTTGTGAATTAAAAATAACAAATGAAAAAATTTAACAGTTTTAAATTTCAGTTACTGTGCGCTCTTGGAGAGAGTTTCATTGTCTTTACTGTCGTAACCAAACGTGACACGCAGTTTGAATGCTGAATGGAGGATGACAGACAGCCGCAGCGGAGACAAGAGTTTACATGAACTTGAATTTAACCACTTAAATATTCATCTGTACCTCACATTAAACAATGGAATGGCTTCAGAACACTTGAACTTTGACTTTATGGTGCTTTATAATGTTTTCGTGCTTTCGTGGGGCTTAACAATAACACAGAATAGTATACGCACAATATCGGATTTGAATCAGTCTCGTCTGACCGATACCCGATCTGACAGAAAATGGCAGTAGCGGAGCCGATACCGATACTGAGTTTCGGATCGATGCATCCCTAGTAAATCAAGTAATTCACACTATTGTCTGAGACAGAAATTGACATGTCAGCCTGTTCAAACAAATTGAGTATTTATATTATCTTTAAATACAGTGATAAATATCTGCCACAAATATTGTAGCTGATCTGTTGTTTACCCTAACCTGAAATCATTAAGCTTACAATTTCATCTTTATCTCCTTCACAGAGTTCACCAAGCAATACAATGGGCCGCACGCCACCCCGGCACCCCACCAGCAGGACCAGTCCTCTCACCTCGCCCACGAATTGTTCCCACGGGGGTCTGTCACCCAGGTAACATTCCCATATGCTGACCACACTAATGCATGATCTCACTCTGGGCACGAAGACCTTCTACAGTAGTTCCAAGAGCCTGTTGCCCTGTTTTATGACTAACATGTACTGACTGTGTCTGACTGGGACTTGCTGTGTTGTTTTCTTCAAAATTTCCCTTTATAACCCGAAACCCTTAAAATGAATTTCTGCATTTCTGGGGTGGGAGCCATATCACCTAAAGAGTCATCCTCTGATGAAGGGTCTAAAACTCTTTTAAAGAGGTCTGCAGAGCACTATAGATGACGATTTAGGGGTTTCTGGGCCTCTTAAACTTATTAACTCATGCTGCTAACCACAACACTCGGACTGGACCACTCTTTTTTTTCTCTCTTTTCCTCTTCTGCCCTGTTCTCTCCTCTCTGGCCGTTCTGTGGGCGCAGTCGGTTATGGGGTTGGAGTGTCGATGGGCTCTTAAAGCACCCTTCTCCCTCTCCTCCTCCTCTGTCTCACTCCTCTATTCCTGCCGGCCCCTCCCTCAGGGCCTTCCTCTGCGCGCTCTCACCAAGGTAACTCACCCGCTAGCCTATCACGATGAGGAGGGGCGGGATGGGTGCTTAGATTCCCACCCACTCCCAGCCTAACAGGCGCTTGTATGCACAAATATTAGCTGCCGTGGTTTGACATCATTCCCAATACGGACTTCCCCTCGTGGATGGTGGTTGATTTAAAATGTAAAACTACAAAAGAATACTATGTGGAGGAATTTTTTAATGCATGTAAAATAGGTTTTGCACAGGAATTAACTGGCTCTCTATGTTTGCAGCATCCATTTATTCACTCGTAGGTGCATGTTGGAGTTGTCCACTCAATTTTTTGAAATATTTTGTATGCTTTAGCTTTCTTGTTTAAGTGAGTTGTTTGCAGTCCATCCAACGTCAGTGTTTTTCCCTCTTTTCCCTCTATTTCTCCCTTCAGTATGCTGGAGTATGACACAGAGAACATGAATTCTGATGAGATCTTTAGCTCGCTGCGCGGTGTCACAGAAGCCATCCAGAGCTTCAGTTACCGCAGCCAAGAGGACCTGAATGAGCCAATCAGACGTGATGGGAAGAAGGATGATGCTGTGAGTGCTTTAATTGTGGGAAACAGGAACAAGTGCACGGATGGGGAAAATTATGACCCCAGTTTGTGTGTATGTTTTTTTAATTATTATTATTATTAAATAAAATTTTAAGTTCATTATTAATAATAATAATAGTAAAAGAAAACACGTACATTATTGTTAATAATAATAGTAAACAAAAACGAGTAAACGAGAGAACAATAAAAATAACAAATACATCCTGGGACGTAACAAACACAATGTTGTTTTTTTCGCTATTATTAAATCAAATTAATAATTATAATAATATTAATAATTGCAAAAAAAACACACACATAAGGGTCATTAAATGGGGTCTTTACAAAACAAAAATAATATTGTTATTAATAATTATAATAAAGATAATAATAACTAATAATAATTGGAAAAACCCACAAATGGAGTCATGAAATGTAATAAAATAAAATACTTAATACTTACAGTAAATACTTAAAAATGATAATACATTATTATTATTATTATTATTATTTAGTTATTTATTAAGAATTCCAAAAATACATGTGAGCCACATGTAATTTAGATCCTTTTAGATTATTTTTTACTCGCTTTTGCTGGTTTGTTGACTCACATTTGATTTTTTTGGACAAATTGTGCAGCCCTAATTGGCACATATTTAACACTCTTTCTCTTTCTCTCTTCCTGTCTTAGGCTGGGAAGGAAGGGGCATCTCCGGGGTCTGATGCCAGACTGGGATTGGACGTAATGGAAGGGGGTCGAACTGCTTTGGATAATAAGACGTCTTTACTTAACACACCGTCCCCACGGTCTTTCGCTGTGCCGCGGTCAAGAGAGTTCGCACCCTATGGCTACGGAGACACAATCACGGCCTATGACAAAAGTGCCCTGAAGGAGGCTGTTTTTGATGATGACGTGGAGCAGTTCCGAGACTGTGAGTCAATACGCTGCTCAAAGCTCATACCTTCACTTTCACAATCATCTGTACTCCATACAGCTCCCATTGTCTGTGATTGTGTAAAGAAACACTTTAAGTTGTGGAAAAACAAAAATAGCAAGAAATTCTGAATCTTCGTGATCTGAATATACACACTAAAATTTCCCAGGCATAAGATGGCATATTGAAAAAAAAACAATGACAATGTTATTAAATCACTTTTTTAAATTTATTTATTACATGTTTCAGCATCTTTTGACGACTAGGCCTCAAATAGAGTACTGGATCTTATGATGCTCAATACAGATGTCAGACAGTAGACCCCAGGTTTTTAGTTTATGTTTCTTGAAATAAGCATAATCGAGTCATTCTTTAATCATCCCATATTGTCAAAACTGAAATTTCCTGGCTTTTTTCATGATAACTGAGGTCTAGGTGCTATGTAACTACCATATAATTTTCAAAACAGTCAGTCCACAGTAAAATTCACACAGCCTGCTTAAAGTAGCTGTGATTTTTCACGAACCGTTGTGACTTCCGTAAAAAGTTGACGTCAGAACTACTCAGTCACCGCCTTCTGTCACCACCCCGAGCACCGCCCACCATCCCACTCTCCTTTTGCCAAACCCCCAGACAACATCATGTCCATACTATTGCTGAGCAACGACAACAGGGAAACATATCGAAAAGGTTAACTTTAACCACAAAACCAGATCGGCCGACCTGTAACGTTACACTCTCACTCAAAGGATGGACGATCTGACAGGATTGTTACTATGAGGTGGATCACATCTAACGTGTATAGTAAAGACAAACTCACCGTGTCTATCTAGTCATGATGATGATGTATATATATTTCAATTTCAGCAGGCAACTATTTTTACAGCTACACTATTGTTCCAGCCACAATTAATCACAACAATGTATATACAATTACAAATATATAAATTGTCAGTTTGTTGTTTTATACACATGCACAGACATTATTTCATACACAACATAATCGTGAGATGCAAGAAACATAGACATATGGCTAGAAATCTGTAGACGCGCCCATAACAACAAAAGACAATACTTTATTTAACCTTTTCTGCTAAGAAGTGTGCACTGCAAACGTGAGCATTTTTGATGATCGTTTCTGTCCAGTCTGCTCGTTTGATCGCGTTTAACCACAGCTGTCGTCGGTTTTTTGTCTGGCAGTGGCAGCAGATATGCGTTCAAATTTCTAATTTGAGGATGTATTACATCGATTCTGGCACCCAACATCACAACAAGATGATATTTTAAGCTCCTTATGTAGCCGAATCTGCGCTGGTTTGAATGGGCCGCCTCCAGTTTCCCCTTTGTTTTGCTGCCTCCAGCTAGCGCTGTGATGTCGGCTGACCCTAGTTACCTGTGGTTGGCCTGGCCGTGCGTCACTCAGAAAACAACAGGCCAATCAGAAGAGAGGCTCATGAATATTAATTAGACAGGCCAAAATCGACCTGTTCTCAGCAGAGCTCCTGAGAAAGGAGCTGTAAAAATATATTGAGATGGTTTTTGGTACTTATACCGCAAATATATATTCTTAAGGACATCAAAACCTAAAATAAAACTCCAGAAAGGTGTAAAATATGGGACCTTTAAAGAGAAAAAAAGTATCTTCTTGAAAAATGATATTAAACAGATGTTTTTGTTAACTTAAGGTTGCTGAAAAAGTGGGCAGACACTGTTGGTGCAGAAATGACACCTTTCAACTCTAAAGTTATTCAACAGTGTGAGCAACATGATGACCAGAGACCATAACAAAACATAAGTGATTAACCCCCGTAAGCGTATGTGCCAGGATAGTGGAGTTTGTGTGTCATCACTTCCCCTGCTGTCCCTCCCCTTCTACAGGCCATCGGCAAGACTGTGGTGAGAACAAGATGGTGCTGCCCAAGGGCTTTACTCCTGGTAAAGACCTGCACAGTTGAACAAGACTGTTGCACTTTTCTTCATTTTCTTTCCCTTCCTCCTCCTCTCTTTCAGTGTCATCCATCTCAGTGTCTCAATGTGATGTGATGTCAACCTATCTTAAATGACACTATTGCTTTGCTAACAGGGTCACTGTGATAACTGCTACAGGCCACCTTCACTAATATAAGGCGATACGATCATATAAATGACTGTATGTTCTAATTAAATAGTACGGTAGTGTTGATTCACATGTGTTTTGGTTTACAACTAACAGAGCTTCACTGTTTGCAGACACATTGTTGTAACACATTGTCATAACTTGTAAGCAAATATGATTAACCTGAGTGATTAACCTAAGTGAACACTTTCACTTTGCACATTGCTGGCTAATAATGACATAGAAGGGTGAAATCTTATAAAAACATGTCCAGATCACATTTCACCCCAAAATCAAATGGAAAAAAGAAATTATATTTTGCATGAAGAACATAAATCCTATTTTTAGGACCAAGTTTTTTTGTTGTTGTAATTTTCATTTTATTATTTCATTTAATTGGTCATTTTCATTATTGTAATCTTGTATTTTTAGTGTATTACAATAACTCATTTTTAAATTTCAATCATTATAAATTAAAGGCTAATAAAAATGTGCCACTACAAAGTCCTAACTAACAGAAATACTGAATTTGAAGTACTGCCATAATGTATAGATACTTAACTTTAAACTATTAAATTATTAAAATTTTATTTTATTTATATTTAATATATTATGTATTTTATTATTTATATTTAATATATATATATAATTTTTTTTTTTTTAGTTGTTTTTTTTTTAGTTTTTTTAAGCAGACTATAATTTTTTCAGCTTTTGAGATGAAATATGACCCATACATGTTCTTGACAGGTTTCATAAGATTCAGTAATATACAATATCATATATTTAAAGCAGAAAAAAATTGTGCTCCAGTAGAATTAAAGTAGGACAATAGCTTGTTTATGCAGCATGTCTTCTGCTCATACTTGAATCGTTTTGAATCATACAGATCTGGTGGCAGACCTACTGAAGGAGCTGTCCAATCACAACGAGCGAGTGGAGGAGAGGAAGGGGGCTTTGATCGAGCTGTTGAAGATTGCTCGTGAGGACAGCCTGGCTGTGTGGGACGAACACTTCAAAACAATCCTATTGCTGCTATTGGAGACACTCGGGGACAAGGATGTGAGTCAGAGCATCATATAACTTGCATCCTTAATTGACACATTCTATTTAAACCTAATGTTTTTTTATATATCCAGTAGGCTTGCCGCGATAGACTCTTACTCGTTTTGCTAATAAACGTTCTACGTTTCTTATTTATTTGGTTATATACTATACATGTTTACTTAGCCTATTTTCAGTTTTGTATACCTATTTAAACTTTATGTAAGTTATTTGTTATTTTATATTAGGCATAGCCTGACCTTTAGCATGGTGTATTTTTATTTGTTTTGTTAATAAATTTCTATGTTTTATATATACGCTAAAGTGTGTTTGATGTTGTATTTTGTTGTTGCATTCAAGCAATTGATGCCGAACTGCCACTAATTTGAAAGTGAAGGTAAAATGCGCATGGCGCTTTTAAGCTATTTGAAAGCGAGGAAAATAGGGAAAATTCAAACGAACTAAAAACGAACAATTGCTTTAAGCCGAATTGCCGCTATTTGAAAGTGAAAGTAAAATGTGCACGCCGCTTTTACAAGCTATTTAAAAGCGAGAAAAAGAGGGAACACCCCCGCCCCCACGGTGATACCGGTATTACCAGTGTTGTCACACGTCGATTAACCGGTGGGAAAATTTCCTCACCGTCACAACCCTAATATCCATTTGTTTGTCTGTGTCTGTGTGTATTTGTAGTGGTTAATAGTGATAGTATGCATTCTGTCTGTTTATTCAGCACACTATCCGAGCTCTGGCTTTACGGGTTCTGAAGGAGATTCTGAGGAACCAGCCAGCACGCTTCAAGAACTATGCAGAACTCACAATCATGAAAACACTAGAAGCTCATAAGGACTCTCATAAAGAGGTTTGAATCCACCTTTTCAAACTAATATCTGTTTTAACCTCTGATTGACATTTAAGCAGTACAACATCATGATGATCATACTGCAAAATCATACTTCAAAAAGTTGTGAATAAAGTATCTCATGGCTACTTTGGGTTGTTTGTTCCTTGTAGAAGGGGTGAAATGTATTGAGTATTCTGTCATTTAAATTCTTTTTTTTTTGTTTCACAAATATTTTTATTATATTGAAAGCTAGACTTAATAGTAATACTAATGATGTTGTGTGAAGGGAAAGAAAAAAATCCATAAATTGTTATACTATAATTATGAAATAATGTATTTTAATGTTTGTGAAAGTCTTTATGTATTTATTTATTTCCCCAAAAATACACTACTAAAAGTAATATTGTGAAATATTATTGCAATTTGAAATAATTCCTTTTCTATTTTAGTGTATTATAAAATGTAATTTATTCCTGTGATGGCAAAGCTGAAATTTCAGAAATGATTACTCTAGTAATATCACACAAGCCTTCAGAAATCATTTGAAAACAGTTGTGCTGCTTAATATTTTTGTGGAACCCGTGATACATTTTTTTTTTCATCATTCTTTGATGAATAGAAAGTTCAAAGGAACGGCATATATAATATGTATTATATAACATTATAAATGACTTTACTGTCACTTTTGAATAATTTAATCCTTGCTAAATAAAATGTTAATTTCTTTAAAAAAATCTTGTTGAACCCAAACTTTTGAGTGGCAGTTTGTGATATTTTATGTATAGTAATGCAATCAAATTAAACCTAGTTTTATAGTGCATGCATAGATTTTAGTATGGGAATATATTCTTTTAAACTAAACTCCATTATCACCATAATACCTCTAACATGTGACTACATTGTTTCTGAGAAATCAGCCTGGCCAGGTGACTTTTTCTTTGTAACGCTCTCATTGAGAGTAAAACGAGCTGTTTGGTCTCTTTAATCCCTTTTTAAATCCAACACCTGCGCCTGCGGACACTGAGCACCTTGGTTACATCTAAAATGCAGTGACCCAAGTCAACAAACCCAACACCTAGATGAGGAAATTAATGAAGTACAGGCATGTGAAGAAAAAGGTTCTCAGGTTGTTAAACTTCACAAACTCAATCAAGTGCCTTCTTGACGTTATATATGCAGGTGGTTCGGGCGGCTGAAGAGGCTGCCTCTACGTTGGCTGGCTCCATTCACCCAGAGCAATGCATCAAAGTGCTGTGTCCCATCGTACAGACCGCAGACTATCCCATCAACCTGGCTGCTATTAAGATGCAGAGCAAAGTGGTTGAGCGCATTGCCAGGGAGTCGCTGCATCAGCTGCTGCCAGACATCATCCCTGGCCTCCTACAAGTGAGTATTGCACATTGGTGGCATTTTATGATAAAAAAGTTCACCTCTCCGCTTCTGTCACTTTGGAATTACTTCCAATTTGATATCAGGGTCAGAGAGATATCATTGAATGTCTGGGCAAGTAGTTACATACATTGCATATATATACCCGAACTCGATGTACCAGAATGGAGAATGGGAATTGAGATGGGGAAAACTTTTCAGTGACTACGTTTTGTAGCCCTTTTGTTAATTTGACCTTTGTTCACCCCACTGGTCAAAATTGGGTCAGTATTAAGTATATTAGCATAGTCTGCATTAGGAACTTTGGGAGCATAGTCAACATGCAACACTTTGTACTTTAGCACTCTTGATGACGTGCACATGTGTTTATGTGTGTGTATGAGGATGTTAATGCTAAAACCGTCTGTCTGTCTGCAGGGCTATGATAACACAGAGAGTAGTGTTCGCAAGGCCAGTGTGTTCTGTCTGGTGGCCATCTACTCTGTGATTGGTGAGGAGCTGAAGCCACACTTGGCCCAGCTCACGGGTAGCAAGGTATGTTCACATGCACGCCAACTCAAAGTCCACCAAAAGGTTCACTTTGTTCAACCTGCTTATCACTCAGTCCTCTGTTTATTTGTGCCCTCCTCTGGTTTTAGCTGGTCCCAAGTTTTTATATTTGGTCTACTTTCATTGCACTTGGGCTTCACAGCACAGTCCATAAAAAATGGTAACACTTTTATAGAAAGGTTTCATTTGTTAACATTAGTTAACTATATTAGTCAACATGAACAGTACTTAGTTATACTTGGTTAAGTTCAACATTTACTAATGTATTTTTAAAATCAAAAACTGTAACATTAACATTTTTATTAACCAACCAGAACAAAAGTTAATAAACACTGTAAAAAATATATTGATTGTTAGTTCATGTTAGTTAATGCATTAACAAATGAGACCTTATTATAAAGTTTTACCAAAAAACTAAGGGGGGAATTACTGAACTCTTTCAGGTCATATTTCACACCAAATTCAAATTTCTCATTAGAGAAATATATATATATATATATATAGAGAGAGAGAGAGAGAGAGAGAGAGAGAGAGATTTATTTATGAATTCTATTATGAATTATGAATTCTTGCATTTGTAATATATTTGTCAAGATAGTTAAGCACAAATTCTACTTTTCTCATAACTGTCTTTTTTTTTTTTTGTTCTTTTATGTAAATATACATAAACGGAGTACAATTGAAGCTACCATAGTGAGTAAACACTATAAAAATGTAAATAAATCATTAATAAATGATTTCACAGTACTGAAGAATTGAATTGAATTTTTATTTTTTTTAATGCTTAATTGACTTGAATTTCATAAAGTGTCCACTCATCACATTCAAAATACTGATAGTGATACAGTGTTGGACTGAGTATTGTTTCTGTGAAATGGTCAATTTGTTGCATTATATTTTGAGAAATCACCTACATTGCCCTTAAGAGAAAATGTTCACATTTTTAGACACAATGCAAAAGTAAACATTAACCCTGACCTTCTAAGATAACATAACTAGAAAGTAGTGCTGTCAAACGATTAATCGTGATTAATCGCATCCAAAATAAAAGTTTTTGTTTACAAAATATGTGTGTGTACTGTGTATATTTATTATGTATATATAAATACACACATGCACGTATATATTTAAGAAAAATGTTATATTTGTATATTAAATACATTTATATATAATATAAATTATATAAATATATACATGTAAATATTTTCAAAATATATACTGTATGAGTGTGTATTTATATATACATAATAAATATACACAGTACAGTACACACACATATATTATGTACACAAAAACTTTTATTTTGGATGCGATTAATCGTTTGACAGCACTACTAGAAAGTGTAAATACATGCTCTTATCTGCGAAACAAGTCAGAGGTCTGTATGAGTATTAGTGCATGTTGTATTGAAATACACCCTCTGGCTTTTATTTCCACAGATGAAGTTGTTAAATCTGTATATTAAGAGGGCCCAGACCACCAACAGCAACAGCAGCAGTTCTTCAGATGTGTCGTCTCACAGCTAGCCGGATGTACTCTAATCAGTGCCCTACACGTGCATTTGGGAACATAGTTGTGCCTCCTTCAGACATCCTTTTTTTTATTGCTTCATCACATTCATCACATTTTCCCAGAGAGATGTGTTGCTCACTTCAATCAGACTTTTCTTTTCATCCAACTCCTGAAAGCTTCTTAGTTAATGTCTCATGCATCTTTCCATCTGTGGAACATTGAATGTAAAGGGGTTCGGATCAAGAAAAATGCATGCCGGCTTTTTGATAGGGAACAGATCTTCCATGATTGGCATAGCTTCCTTAATTGGAGCAAACAAGCTATCTTCAGCTTCTGAAGAGGTGATTCGTTAACTACATTTATTAGTAATAACTTATTCATGTTTGCAAGTGGTGTTAAAGGTTTAATCGAGTTATTTGGATATTTTAAACGGGCACCGTTGGGTTAACTAATACATCACTTGAATCTCAGTTAATGCTAATGGATCATTTGGCTGGCCGAGTGATAAATGTAAAGAAAAGAGAAACATTTAAGTAATTTGTAGGTTTGGCTACAATGACAACCAAAAAAAATGTAGAATTAAAACATTCTTATATTCATTTTTATTTCATGGGACCGCAATACCACATCCCGTAATGTTGAAAGTGTAGGAAATAATGTTTGTTTCCAAGTCTTTAAAAAGGCTAATGTAAAGCAATTGTGTTGATTTTATTATAGGATGGATTATGTGTTCAAAATGTAGGCCTCACTACAGAATACAAGGACAAACTTCTGAATGTTGAGCTTTTCTTTTCATCTTTGGAAAAAAAAAGCGAAAGGTTTTGGGAGTAAACGTGCAAGCCACAACACACTTGGACATTTAAAAGTTGACAAACACTCAATGGAGTCAGAAACATGACCCAGGAGCATCTTCAGACAAGAAACAATGAAGGAAACCGATTGAAACTTTGTTCTTGGAGCAAGAGGATTGTGATGGAAATTTCCAAACTACTATGCCTTACGTTCCTTTTTCTGTTTTCAAAGCTCAGACTGTTAAGATATACGTGTCCACAGGCATTCTTACTACATCGCTAAAGCATGGTGCTGCAAGTTTGCGCAGCACATGTCTATGACACTAATGAAAACCCTCTAATCTGGCTGAAGAACTAGAGGTGATGTTATGTTCTCTGAAAGCTCTGAACTCTTTCTTTTCCTTGTTCATCTGGAGATTTTTCCCATCTGATGTTAAGTGCTGAGCGTTTAGTGTTTTGTACATACCTTACAATCATTGCTTCTCCCTCCCCCACAAAATTAAGGTAAAAATGATGTTGCACTCTTTTGCACATTAACAAATAGCCTGCATGTTTTGACGACATAACCATCCTGTGCTGCCGCGACTGACCTAGGTTTGGCTGTTTGTGCCATGTCAGCGGTCTGGTCGGTCTGTAAATACAGTATTATTATTGTTATTATTAATATGTTGCCCGTGTGGGGAAGTAAGTGCAAAGCTCAAATGGGTCTCACAGTTGACCAAAATGTCTGTTTGTCTCAGACTGTGAACCAGACCATATTAGAAATTAAGGACAGACATTTGAAAGCACCCTACTTTCCTTAAGTATTATATACTGGGGCGTGTGGCTTTTATTGGTATGCTAAGTGTGCGTACCCTTGTTTGTTGTGGCATTTCTTTCTAATGGTTTTTAACCGGTTCAGACCATGAACCAACATTTTGTTTTAGACTGGGGCTATTCATAAAAATAATCTGTTAATGAAAGAACAAAGCCAACTGTGAGGATCAACAATGCAAGTGTTAAGTTAAACGTGGCCCCTTGGTTTTCCTAAAATGTTGACTTCTAATGGTATTCCATCAAACAATTCACTACGCATGTTAGACTTTATGTTTTGTCATTGGACACAGATACACTATTGTATTTGTAAAGTTGTTATTTCATTTCCTGTCCCAATGTACAGTTTTCTTTTTTTTTTTTCAAAGGCTTGTGATAGATTTACACCAACCTAAGTTTGGCCTAGAATTAAAACAACCAGAAACATGAATTTATTGTGATGATTATTTCAAACTCTAAAATCGATCTTTTTTTTGTTTTGGGGCTGTTGAATGTGCTATCAGCAATATAATTCATGCACCAGTACATTTATAAATTCATGCACCAGTACATTTATAAACGAAGTCACATGTGATGACGTGTACTCAGTCCTAGTGAGTCCAGTGAGAAAGAAATGACCAGGTTACAGGTCACCTCAAAATCAAAACATCAGTTTATATATTGCATTAAGAATCTGAAGCTATTTTCAAATCATTTTAAATAATTTATTTGGTTATTTTTTTATTTTATTTTGCATTGTGAAGTTATTTTTTATGACAACAAATTGTTAAATTACATTTTTCTCAAATATTTAATGTGGGGAAAAAAATAATTCTCTGTAAAGCAATAATGAGTCATTCTGTCTGGACTTTTTTTAAAATCAAAATCATCATGATCAACGACTATCAAATACTACACAAAAATACTGTCATTGTGTATTTTTAGTACAATGGTTTAAAAAGTAGGTTTTTATTTAAGCAAAATAGATTTGGACTTGTTTATATGTATATAACTTTTATTTTAAGTTTCGGTGAAATATAACCTGGACATTCTTTACAGTTTTTGTGAGATTCGTCTAAATATCAAAGTTTTTAGTATTGTCATTAGTGTTGACATCAAGGCTTTTCAACAATACAGATGTGAAAATGCAGTTGGCTACAGAAGCACCTGCGCGCACTCAAACATCATATTGCATAATCTAGTTAATAAAGCAACTCAGTCTTGACCTTTGATGTACACAGTATCAGTTTTACCAGCTGCGTTTTTTTTTAAACGAGTGGTCCAGAAGAGTCCGTCAGAGCGCCGGTGTTGTGCCCAATTCTGACCCCCGCCAGATTACTATCCCCCCTAGTATTGGTAGGTTTAGGGTAAAGTGTGGGGGAGGGTTTAGGATTAGGCAATCAGGTAGCGATTTCAACGAGGGGGGTAATAATTTGGCAGGGAGTCGAAAATGGGCACAACACCGGTGCAGGTGACAGGATGAAGGCAGAGTGAGGGACACTCACAGGTCACCTGACGGCTGTCACGCGGCCATAGAACACAGCGGACACGTTGGGTTCAGAAAAGCCTGTGCGGCCCTCACGGGCCCCTCACCGGCCACCACGCGTTTGACTAGTTACTCATATTTTTCGATAAGAGCGTCACCGAACTGGAGATTATGCTGTTTTGGCACAGCCATCCTGAAACCTATCAACAACACGTGTTGAACGAAGTTCAGACACGCAAGTTTTTTTTTTTTTTTTACGTAGCCTATTTATTTAACTTTAAGTTGTAAAATGTTACTTAAAACATTTTACAACTTAAAGTTAAATACAATTTTAAATAATTTAAAAAATCGTTATTTAACAAAGTTTAACAAAAATTTAACTAGGCCTATATCTTTAAAAAAATATTAGTATTCGTTACTTGAAAAGTCTTTAAGGAGGGAACTACTTCTTAAAAAAGAAGAAAACACTGTAACGTACATTAATAAAGAAAACATGACACCTTATGACTTAGTAAGCAGCAAGTCGATAATCAGCCAGTAAAATTTGTTTTCTGAAGAACCACATCAAGGTAAATCTCAATCATAATCTACAGGGGTGCTCCGATCAGGGTTTTTGAGGCCGATCACAGAAAGCAGTATCTGCCGATACCGATCACCGATACTGATCTTTTTAAAGCCTTCTTTTTATCATTAACTATTTACAGTGATACTCCAATCAGGATTTTTAGACATTTATAAAGACAGGGCCTGAATTTCATTTTTTGAAAATGGTGGGAATTCCCCTCTTAGGTGTCTCTTGTGAGAGGAGAAACAGCTTTTTAACAGGAGTCCGCTACTGATCTGTGGCTGATTACCACAAACACAACATTTATCCATTATTTTGATTTCAAATCCAAACATTGTCACTGAAAATGCTTTTTCAGCATTGCAATTCTTTTTTTACACAGTACAGTAATACAATCTTTCACAGACATGTTGGAACAACAGGAAACTAGTGGAGTATACAGATATGAACAGTAAATATGTAAAGGTAGGTTAAAGGAATTACGTGTTTTTATATTATGTAACCTTTTTCCGTATATATCACCTTTCTATAAACTAGTTACAGTACTGCTAAATCTTCCCCTCCACATTCATAGCCAAATGTAGTTTTTATTAATTACATTAGGTTTTTTTCTGTTAAACCTAAAATAAACAATGGTTTAGGGTTTTGAAAAATGTAAAACATTGTGGTATTTATAAATTTATGATGTGAACCTTTGTAAAGATGGTCAGATGTTCTTATATTGAAGTATAAGACGCTCTTTGAAATATTCTCAAATCATTTTCAAAGTTTTCAAAAACTGATGGTAAGTTTTTAGTTAAGTTGCCGTCCAACAGGAGGCCTATTCGAGGTTTATTTGTTCAATAGCGACAATGATTGTTAATGAACATGAGTATAAAAATACAAAATGTTAATATGCTGGATTATAGCAATATTGCTAATTTACATCCACAGTCCTAAGGCACAAACAAAGACATTATTATTAAAACGTATACAAATATAAAATATTATAAATGACAACATACAGTTACAAATACACCATAGTCAAAGGGACAAGCAGCATACCAAATAAAAAATATAATGCAGTCAATACACATGTGCATGTGAAAGTTCATAGTTGACACTTGTAGTAACCTAATTGTAAACATTTGTGGCAACATTGAAGTAAATATTGAAGTCTTAAATGTGAGCTTTATGAAATACTGAAGAAATCATGGTGACATGTGTGATGCATTCTATGCTGTTTTCAGAGCATCGTGCGTGTTGTTTTCCATGTCTGACGGCTGCAGTACACAGCATCAGCAGCTGGAGGGATGGAGGTGGAACCGACCAGGAGACAGAATCTTGCATATGGTGAAACCTGCTTTCCTAATAAAGCACATTTCTAATCTAATGTTTGCAAATCATTTTGTCATATGATTTGCTACGTTCAATTTGTTATAGTCAGATATCCCGCTGTCAGTTGGCATAATGGAGCCGCGAGCCCACCCACTGCAGCTCAACACCATAGATTTTCTCTGGGATCCTGACAAAAATGCCTCAGTGTTCATTCAGGTACATGTTTGCTCTCTCTCTCTGACCTTCCTACTAGTTTTCTAAACTGAGTAACACCAGTGGTAAATTTTCTGTTTCTTTATATCCAGGTAAACTGCATTAGCACTGAGTTCACTCCTAGAAAACATGGTGGAGAGAAGGCCGTCCCCTTCCGCATTCAGATAGACACCTTCGCAGCCGGCGAGCACGGAGAATACACTGAACACATGCGCTCCGCCAGCTGCCAGGTCAAAGTCTTCAAGGTAGAGCATCTTATGGACTCTTAAAAGATAAGTGATACACAATGTGCTTTGTGGAGATGTTAGATTATGTCATGACCTGCATGCATTGTTTTCTTCTGTGGAACACAAAAGACGATATTTTCAAGAATGCTGGGACACTGGCCCCATTGACTTCCATTTTATGGACAACAAAAAACATTTATCAAAATACCTTTTTTTACATTCCACAGAAAAAAGAAGGTCATACAGTTTTGTAACAAAATGAGGGTGAGTACATGATTACAGAATTTCAAGTTTTGGGTGAACTATCCCTTTAATGATTTTTTTCTCTCTCCTTAAGCCAAAAGGTGCAGATCGCAAACTCAAGACTGACAGGGAGAAAGAAGATTGAGAAAAAGAGTCCTCAGGATAGAGAAAAATATCAACCGTCCTATAAAACGACAGTGCTGACTGAGGTGAGACATCTGTCTTGATAGCATTTGAGCTTTGGTTGTGTCATTGTTGCCTTCCATAAAACAGAAACTTTGGTTGTGATATTTGAGAACCAGTTCCATTTACCTTTTTGCAATTCCATTCCAATGCGTCGGGGTCATATGGACTAATTTTCATATGGACACTTACATTTTTTTTTTTTTTCAATTTTGGAGCTTGACAGCATAAATCACCATTGTTGAAAAAAGCAGCTTTGACATTCTTCCTAATATGTAATTTGTATTTCAAAACAAAAAACAATACAGTATCAGAACAGTAAGTAAATGATGACAGTTTTCACTTTTGGTTGAATTATCTGTCTATGTTAATGATTGCAGTCTTTCAAGCTAGCGGTCTACATCAAACATCTATAACCACTGTATTTTCCATGTCTCCTGTGTGTGCCTCTTTATTTTGACTGGTCATAGTGAAATATTAAGCTCTCTCGCGCAAGCAAGATGTGACTGGAATTCACATGATTGCTTGTTGGACCAAAGCAACCCATATTGAGAGTAAGGTCAAGAGGTGGGTCCGAAACAGTCACCAAATATAGGTAAACTATTTCTTTTTCTTTCAGTGCTCCCCTTGGCCTGAAGCCCCATCTGTCAACAGAACGAGCAACACTCCATCTCCTGGTTATCACAGCTCTCACACGTCCTACAGCTTCCCAGAGGAGTAAGTCCTTGTTCAGTATGAAATCACATCTTGAACTCATAAACATGAACATAACTAGCAACTGCTTTCCTGTCTTATTGCGTTTATAGAAACTGCTCTCCAGACCAGCAGGGGGAGCTACTTTTGCCCAGCTGCTCTGATGTAAGTATAGCGGGCAGGTTAAAAACATTAATGCCATGCTCTCTTATCTTTATAGGTTTGTGTTTGAGGACATGGATGATGCTATTCTTCTTCTTTTTGCCATGTAGCACCTGTTGCCGTCGTCCTCCATGCAGGACACGCAGCAGTGGCTCCATCGTAATAGGTTCTCCTCTTTCTGCAGGCTCTTCTCTGGCTTCTCAGGTGTGCTGAAATATTCAATGAGAATTCAATTACAGCTACTTGGCTCTGTTACAAATTCAAGTGAACTGCCTACCAAGGCACCATTTTTTTCAGTTTCATCAGTTTTAATTTTTTAGAATTTGTTTCATTTAAATGTAATCGTTTAGTTAACATGTTGC